TCCCTCTCTCCATTCTTCTTCACCTAATATTTTATTTATTTATTTATTTATTTATTTCATACTCCGTCTCTTTCGAGTTTGGAAGGAGTATTTCGAGGAGTATTTGTAATATTTACAAACATCGTAATAATTCTCATTGGCTATTTTATCTTTTGATGCTCGGTTTGTCATATAATTTTTTTTTGCAGCATTCTCGGATGATTTTAATGTTGTTCGATTTGTCTGCAATACTTTTTTTTGACTGTACAAAAAAAGCAAGAGAGAAAAAATGAGAAATAATCCAACGGTGGCGTCAAAAAAGATGTAAGGCATTACCGACGCATGTGTCGTATTATCATCAACCCCTTTACGCAAGCCTGTCCCAACTACGACGAGTATATTATCGTCTTCGACTCTTCCAGAGTCGTCTTTTTTATTAATTTCACCTAGTTTCGCGACGGTTGCCTAGTTTCCATTTTTTTTCTGATGTTTTTTAATATTCGTAAAGGAAGATACATTGCTGAGACTAAAGAAGAAGAAAAACTATTCTTAAAAACTAAGCTCGAATTTTCTAAAACATGGATGATTTTTCCCGTGCCTACTTTTCGCACACAATTTATTAACTACAAAAATAACGGTATCCTAAAAATATTTAAAAATTTAGAAAATTTAGAATAAACAAAATAACATTAGTGCTTCATTCGTGAAACATTGATGAATACTTTTTATTTACTGGCGTAGGAAGTAACTATACGCTGTGAATGAGTGAATTCTATAAGTGGTAACACTCCTCATTGGCTTTTCTTTAATAATCAGTTATGCTCCTTAATTTTATCAAAAAGTCATCCAATACTGCAAACTAACATCGCATGAAATTAATTTACAGAGAATCTGTTGTTCTCTTTTGGTAAGTACTATTTGCCAAAAAAAGCCTAAATTTGCAGTAAAACATTGCTTGGAAAAGTATTTGCGAGTTTGTTATTTCCCCTTTGTTGCGAAGAGAGAGAATTGAGGGACCAGATCGTATATGCACCACAACCGGTTATAAGCAGCTTGCATCTGCTGAATTTCAATAAGCAACACGGGGCACCGGTTACAAGCCATGTGCCAATCAAATATCGGTCGCGCGTGTCTTTTCATACAATATTTTGAAAATTATCAAGCAATATCATTGGTGTACCACAACCGCAACTAAGAACGACGCGTCCACAGATTTCACAGCCATTATGTGATATACCTGCACACAGTAAAAATTGTGAACTGAACATGTGCGTCAGCAACAATGGAAAAGTCAATAGCCTAAGAAAAAAAAATACCCCTACACTTGGTGATTTTCCTTTCGTTTATAGTTTGTATGCATAGTTTGTATGATTAAAATGTTCTTTTACATGCTGCAACAACTAGTAGCAGCGCCATATGATTCTGAAAAATATCAATTCACTCTAAAACTCTTTGTAAAAATTGTAAAATTTTATAAAAATATTTCCCATTTAACATGTCGTTTGCATCAAAGTAACTACACATCATATGAAGTAAATTATACAGTATGCAAATTCTGACGGCACCAAACGCGTCAGTGTGATATCGTGACTTTTCAGACCCCTCTCACACACACACAATTCAATCATTGAATCCTCTCACGCATACACATGAGTTGAGTAAGTATGTATTGTACAGTGTAAATACAGTGAATTGAGCAGGCAAAAGTTGAG